TTCTGGGAGGGCTGGGAAGGTGGCTCAGTGGTAGAGTGCTTGCCTTGCATACATGAGGCCCTGGGTTCGATTCCTCAGCACCACATAAGCAGAAAAAGCCAGAAGTGGCGCTGTGGCTCAAGTGGTAGAGCACTAGCCTTGAGCGGAAGAGCTGAGGGACAGCGCCCAGGCCGAGTTCAAGCCCCACGACTGACAAAGAAAAAAAAAAGATGTTCTGGGAAAGTGTGGTATTTCATCCTGAAACCAAATTGTACACAGAGAGAATGACATCAACACTGCGCTTATGGAAGCAAGGTTGTCAATGTCTAGATACATTATGGTCTTGAACAGAAGATACAGTTTTGGTCAGATTATGAGTTAGTCTTTTTGACCATTTCATATAAGTACATAGGTACACAGGTACACACACACACACACACACACACACACACACACACACACACAGAGGTAGGTACATTTGGGACTTAACAGAGACAATGAGCACATTTCCTATTAAGCTACCCCAGGTGACAGTGAATCACGGGTGAATAGAAGCATGTATCGTCAGACTATAAAAGGCTGTTTAGGACATTCCTGAGGACTGGGCTTCATGTGTGGAGAGAACCCTATACAAGCATATCTATTATCAATACAGCAAACATATTACATTCATTTATGACTGCTTCATTCATTCATTCATTCATCTGCCTTACAGTCAGAATAATAGCCTGCCTGGGTGATATTTCAAGACACCTTTTGGTCTTAAAGATTACTGATATCACTCATTTTTTACGTGTTTTTTTATTGTAAAAATACTGTACAGAGGGGTTAGAGTTACTTGAGTAGGGTAATGAGTACATTTCCTATGAATCATTGTTACCTCCTCCTTTGTTTTTCCCCTACTATCCCTCACCCTCCCCACCCCCTCAAGTCTTCCTCCCCGCTGCCCCCCAAGTTGTAAAGTTTGTTTTCAGCATAGTATCTTGTACATCTCGTTGTTTCAATGGGTCAACCTGCATCCTTATTTCAGCATTTTGTTATTTCCTTTCCCCTCCCCAATTAGAAAAATGTATATACCAGATGCAGGGCATCTGTTTTAGTGAAAACAGGGATTATATGGGCGGGGGGGTGGGGGAAGGGAAGAACATACAAGAGAAACAAAAAAAAATCACATAGTACATTTTAAATACATTAAGAACAATAGCAAGCAAGCAAGCAAGAAAAAAAAAACACTGTGTCCCTATCTTGGGGTTCATTTCACTTAACATCATCTTCTACGGTCATATGTACATAGCTTTTGACCATCTCTGCATGTCCTAGACTTATACTAGTTATTGCAAATAAGGGAAACCATGGGACCTATGTTTCTTTGGGCCTGGCTTATTTCACTTAATATAATTTTTTCCAAGTCTTTCCATTTCCTAACAAATAGGGCAATGTCATCCTTTCTGATGGAGGCATAGAATTCCATTCTCTCAGACCACCAAAAGCCACCAAAGAAAGTCCTGTAACATGTGGAGGCTGAATAACACACTGTTGAACCATCAGTGGGCCATGGAAGAGATTAGAAAGGAAATTCAAATGTTCATGATATTCAACAAAAATGAACACACAAATTACCAGCTCCTCTGGGACACAGCAAAGGCAGTCCTCAGAAGCAAGTTTATAGCTCTGAATTCCTACATAAACAAGTTGCAGACATCTGAAACCAACAATTTAATGAGACACCTGAAGCTCCTTGAAAAAGAGCAACAACCTAAACCCCAATCAAGTAGATAGAAACAAATAATAAAATTAAATCAGAATTAAATGAATTAGAATCCCCCAAAAAACAACATAGAATCATTTTTTTAAACCTACCAAAAGACTGGTCTGTACAGAGAATAAGGACTTACTATGGTACATCTGTTGCCCGTGTGTACACTCTATTATTGTAAAATAAGACAAAGTTAAATAATTTAGTAGGCCAAGGAAATAAATTAAAAAAAAACCCTAAAACTTCTAGTGGATTATCAAATAGGTATTTCTTTTTTATTTCAATATGATGCTTAATATCATGCACACAGATTCAACATAACTATAAAGACAAATACTGTTTTTACTTGTGAGCCCTTTAGGACTTTCTTTTTTACCTCTTGTAGGAAAGAATAAAGTTTGAACTTAAGACCCTGAGCTTACAAGACAGGTGTTTTCTCAGTTGAGTCACATCCTAAGCCTTTTTGTTATTTTTCAAAAGGCTTCAGGTAGCTTGGATTGCTGCCTTCCTATTTATGCTTCTCAAGTGGTTGGGATGATCACTAGCATTGTTGTTGTTTTTAATTGATTGGGATTGAATTCCCAAATCCTTTGCCTGGGCAATAAAACCCACTCAGTCTCCACCTTCCCATCCCAGAAGCTAGGATTATAGGTATGAGCTATTGTGCCTGTTCCTCCCCTGCATTTTGAGATGCACACTTGCTATATAGCTTAGGCTAACTTCAAACTCAAGATCTTAGTTTCTCAGCCTCCCAGTTTCTGGCATTGTAAGTATATGTCACCATTTGGCTGAAGGATTCCTTTGTACATTGATAGTTTCATAAATTATGAACAGTGATGCTGAGCCAGTATTTAATAACTGAAGAGTCAAATTCAGGTGAAAAAGATCGCCAATTAAAGCCCTTCTTGTATCAGCAAGATAGAAACAATCCCTGGATGAACTACACAAATTATGAGATTTCCGTATTCTGACTTTATTTAGTCATTTCAAAACTGTGGATCAAGGAGGAGGATGAAAAACCATAGAAAACATTCTGCTTAGTTGAAAAAGCCAATGAATCTAAAATATGAGCAGCAAAGGTGCTTCCTGGATCGTTGGAAAAGCTAACTGGAACATCTGTTTATTTGGTTTTGAAAAACGATCTCTTTATCTAATGTGACTGGCATTAGTGATTCATAAAATTACTTCAGTTCAAATTTTAGCTCATGGGCAAGAGTGAGAGAAACAGACTCACTAAATAAAATCCTTTACACAGCCATCCTCCTTTGCACTGTAAAAAATAATGACTGACTACTTAAAGCAGAGTTAGGTCAGCACTCTATAATATAAATAGAAAACACTTGAACGGCACCTGCTGTTCTAGTCAGCCAAAAGAGAGAAAGTCAGCAAAGGTGATTGGCAACTTGTAGCGAACTGCCACTTTCATTTCTTAAATTGCCTGTATCTCTTCTTGGCTTGAGAATTTCCTGGTTCTTTATTCTATAACATGAACACAACTTTTAAAGACTGTACTTTATTAACGCCACTTATATACTTAATGCTGCCAGTGACATTATTAGATGTCTACCTTATCTTTTCAGATAAGGTAGAATCAATTACTGGATCAAAATCTTTAATTTTCTCTGTACAGTATCTTTATAATAAAAAATATTTAAAAATACTATTGAAAACTAAAAAAATTTAAAATCTTTAATTAAAAAATTCTTTTCCTACAAGAATTCTATTTTAAATACTTTATTGTTATCATTTTTTTCACCCAAATGACCTGCAGAAGTTTTGTATACTGAATTACAGAAAGAAGAGGACAACACTGCAAAAGCAGCTGAAGCCAAATGCACACTTTTTCTGTGTTTGTTTTTGTTTTGTTTTTTGGTACCAGTACTGAGGCTTGAACTTTGGACCTGGACACTGTTCTTTAGCTTTTTCATTCAGTGTTGGTGCCCTATCATCTAAGCTACTATTCGACTTGCAGGTTTTTAGTGATTAATTGGAGATGAGTCCCATGGACTTTTCTGCTTGGGATGTCTTTCAATCTCAATTCTCAGGTCTCAGCCTCTTGAGTAGCTAGGATTATAGGTGTGAGTCACTGTTGATCTGCTAAATGGACACATTTACAAAGTGACTGGCCAAAAGGAAGGCTATGAATTGCAAATGTGTGTTAAGTATATTTGTTTATAGGTGGTGAGTACACCTCGGCAACAAAAATGAATAAAGGTTAAGAAGATAGGAAAAAACGTAAAACACAGAATAAAATGCTGTCATGTATGTACAAAATTCCATTAGTACCTACTTGAGACTGTGAAAAGTTTAAGTGCCCTTTAAATGCTATTTTCAAACTTCATCTCTCTCTTTTTTTTTTGTCGGTCATGGGGCCTGGGTATTGTCCCTGAGCTTGTAAGCTCAAGGCGAGCACTCCACCACTTGAGCCACAGTGCCATTTCTAGTTTTCTGGTGGTTAATTGGAGATAAGAGTCTCATGGACTTTCCTTTCTGGGCTGGCTTTGAACCGTGATCCTCAGATCTCAGCCTCTTGAGTAGCTAGGATTACAGGCATGAGCCACCAGCACCCGGGTATTAAACTTCATCTCTGGATATAAATTGTTTACTAAACAAGATTTATGAATATACCTAATATGTATATATTTGCATATATTACATTTTAACTGAAATATTTACATTGTTATTATTTATGCCATTGTCATTCATTACTAGTAGTGGTTACGACCATGTACTATTACCTGTAATTTAAAAACATATATGATGGGAAAGACTGAAAATGGACATTTTACTCATTACAAAAAAAAAAAAACTTTTTTTTTTTTTAAAAGATTAAGAGCCTCCTTCCTAAATATATTATTTATTTTAAACAATTTCCCTGTTTTCACTGTATTTGATACCGGTACCCTGCATCTTATATATACATTTTTCTAATTTGGGGAGGGGAAGGGAAATAACAAATACTGAAATAAGGATACAGGTTGACCCATTGTAAGAATGAGATGTACAAGACATTATGTTGAAAATGAAGTTTACAACTTTGGGGCAGGGGTGGGTGGTGAGAGGGATGAGTTGGGGAGGTGTGGAGGGAAGGGATGGTAGGGGAAAAACAAAGGAAGAGGTCACAATGCTCGATAGGAAATGTACTCATTACCTTACTCATGTAACTGTAGCTCCTCTGTACAGTACTTTTACAATAAAAATATATACAAAAAAAATCTCTGATAAACGTGGAGCTCTGAATTAGGCTTTCTCATTTCAGTCATACCTTTCACATCTTCATCCTCAATGGTTGTGTTTGAACTCTCAGTTGACTCCTGTTGAAAAGAAGACACATTTTGAAGTTGCATTAATGAGCAGCTAGAGTTTTTCATTAAAAAAGAAAACAATTGGTGAGTGATGTATACATATCATGCAAAAATTCTTCAGCAGGCTGTGTGAATATGCTGACATGCAAATGAACAAAATTGACAAAATATGTTAAGTGGTTTTCAACAGAAATAAAATGTTAAATGCTGCAAACACTTCAAAGAGGGAGTACTCTGGTTGTCTAATTTCTAGTGCAATTTAAATCTGGGTGATTTCTAGAAACAGCAGAAGTATGTGGCTTTTTTTTTTAGAACTACGTAAAATGTATGGGTACTACACTGCTTTGTAAAGTATGATTTGTGTATGTGTATAAATGTTTATGAGAAATTAAATTTATTAGCAGAATGAATCAAGTAACTAACAAATGGTATCTTTATGTGAGGTTGTCTGTCAGATAGAATATTTGCAGTTTCTGTGTATGTCCCTTGGACAGAGAGGAAATATTTCATTGCATGAAACAATTTGAATAAGAAGCTAAAGGCATTAAGCTGAGATAGACTGATGTTTGTCATGAGTACAATGGTTGCATTATAATAAATAATTTAGGTCAGTTAGAATTTTTCCATTCTTCCATAAACTGGAAACTGGCTAGCAATGATAACTGCTCCTGGAGTAAGAAAAAAAAATAAAGCTCCTCCTTTATAAAACTACAAATGAAGGTGTAGGTAAGTAGGAACACTTAAAAGTTCATTGTAACTGCCAGTATTAAGATTGCTTAAAATGGTTTGATAAATGTTGTCATTAAAAATGAATGAATGAAATATTCCCTAGCAAAGATATTTTGCACTACTTATAAGAAAGACACAATTTTCTGCCTGGAATGGTTAAAGACTAGAGCTGAAGCTAATTGGAAACTAACTTCCGATGCTCAATGTTTAGTAATGAAAACCAGGCTTTAGAAAGTGATTCAAATCCCACAGAGTGTTCTTTCATAGATTCAATATTTTGAAAAGTAATCAATTGATATAAATATAGTACACAATATAAAACCAAAGAGAAAAACTAATGAAAAATGTATCCAGAGTCTCCATACACACAAAACCAAAGAAAAGTCTTCATGCGTTTCTCAATGTGATGGAGCATTCAGACTTAAATGAGAAATGGAGGTAAACCCATGCACTGTAAAAGATAAACCAATTCACATAAGCAAGAAACACATGCAGCCACTCTTACAAATGACAGCAATAGAATGACAAAGTTAGCACTCCAGGTGTTAAGCCTGGTCATTCATTTGCTAATGCTATTAAAAAAAATGTTTCTCCTATGTTAGATTGCCCTATTTGAAGTCTTTCAGTAACTTAGAACATTTCCAGTACCATAACTACAAACTACATCCTATTCTCAAACACATTTTCATGTGCTTTAACTTTAGTAGTTTTCATATTGATCAACTAAGTGTATTTTCTAAGTCTTTGCCATCACTGATAAAAGTAAGGAAACATAAGACCCACAATTGTATTTAATGTTTGAGAAAACCCTGATGATGTATTTTTTTCTCCTCTCCTTAGAGACGTAATACATAAAGGAATAAACTAGAAACATGGAATACTTTCAGAAAATGTCTCCTTTCCTCATGTAGACATGTATGTAAGTGGTGTTGTTTTGTTAACATGCTGTAAAATTATTTACAACAGGTAGAATTCATAAATCTTCACTTGCAAAAGTGTAGTTAAACGTTTGTTACAGAAATGCATATACCTCAACTATAGACACATTTCATGAGAAGTCAATTCTGATTCTCCTCAAACTCATGCCAAACAACAACACAATCAAAAGAAGAAATGGAAAGACAAAAGTTCCCAAACACTATGACAATGGAATAGAATAAAACTCAAAAACAACATTAAAAAAAAAGAAAAAGAAAAACCTATGAACCAACGGTGACTTTTTTTTTTTTAAAGACAATGGAATGGTAGCAAGAAATCCTAAAATTTCATGCAGCACACATCTACCATATGATGCACAAACAGTCATGGAAAAAAGAAAAGACCAAATAGAGTTGTTCAGAATATATAGTCCTCTTGACACAAAGACTTTTTCAATGTTCAACCTGACTTCCATATTTTCTTTTTTAACCAAGGCACCATTGACTTGTCTTTCAAGCTATCATGTCATTTATTTTTCTTTGAAAGAAACCTGTGTATAGTTCTAGGCCAATTAGACCAAACAAAAGAAAGTGTGGTAGGAAGAAAAAAAAAAGGGTGAAGATTTTCTATGTTTGGATCATGAATTAATTTTGCATTGCGCATTTGATGAGATGTGCAATCTTGTTGAGCTAGATGATGCTGATTCTTTCTGAATACCTTGTTTCCATCAGGGTTGTGGATTACAGTAGTTTGGGGCTCCTGAGTGAGAACAAAAATAGAGAAAGAAACATTCGCATTGATAAGTACATCCTCACCAGTCTAAGGGACAGAAGCAGAGAGAGCCAACTGACAACACTAAATACTGACAAGAATTAAAGCCATGTTCACTGCTGTCAGAGGCTACAGCTGACAAGATCCCTGATCAAAGACTTCTCTGCTGAACCCAGGAGATAGGACACCTCTGTACCCAGAAGCAGCATGCAGAAGACCTTATTCCTGTTCAGAATGCCAACAAGGCTTTGAAGGCTGGAGACCTAAAGAGGCATTCACTGTTTCACCAAGTCCCGTGCCACATACAGCTTTCCTTTCTTCTTTAATGAATGACCTGTTAATGTCCATCCATAGAAAACTGGCCAAGGGCACTGGAGATAAAACTCTTTGATTTCCATTCCTTACAAAGGTAGTTTTCAGCTGGATTGCTTTGGGAATTGGTCAAGGAATCCTAAGTAGCACAAAACTGAATATCCTCTGAAAATCTAAGAACATTGGACTATATATTAAAAAACTGTGTGAAAGAATACATTTCAAAAACCCATGAGAAATTCTAAGGATGGTTTAAAGTGTTTTCTTAGATGGCTCTAGAACTTATCATGTCATCCGTACTTAGAAACACATTGCTGTTAAACCCTATGATAACTTCTACCTAAAAGAAAATGTCTGCTTCATGGACTTCATGTAGAGAATATTTGGCTGTTAAGTCCTGTTTTCCCAACAAGAAAATATTATTTCCCTAATTTTTCTATTAGAAAATAAATTCTATAGTGGAAAGTAATATTTAAATAATTGAGGTTTTTAGTTTTGAAGAAAGTATGACACTTTCTGACTGTAATTCACTGAATTCTCTTCTACCACATGTACTTTTCTACCAGTGTACTTTGCATTAAATACTACTTCCTTTTTCCCTCTCCAGAGCAAGAGCCATGAACAGTATTGTTTTTATTGATAACTTGTTTTAAAAAATCCTCCTCCCTTTCCTATCTCCCTTGCTTCTCCTTCTCCTTCCTTTCCCTTCCCTTTCTTTATTTACTGGCTTTTCTTTTCTTTTTGGTGTTACTGGGGATTAAACCCAGGACCCAAGTATGCTAGGCAATTGCTCTACCACTGAGATAGAGCTTCAGGCCTAATAATCTGCTATCTTTATGTGTCTTCCATTTAAATAATTTTAAGGCAACTAGGTAACTCAAGTGCCTAACATTTAAAAAATAATAAACGTAATACTCCAGGGATAGTAATATATCAAAACAAGTATTGAAAATTGTAAACTGAAGTCTAAACAAAGCATTATAAAATGTAGAATATTGGATGCCAGTATTCAAATTTTGGAATTTAATACAGCACCATCTTCCAGTGTTACAGTGCTTTAGTTAATTGTGTGGACTTGATTTAAATGTTTTCCATTGTTGATTCAAAGTTCTATGCTATATGATTTTTTCTTCTTCTGTGCCCATACTGTGGCTTTGAGCTAAGGCCATGGGGAATGTCTTTCAGCTTTTATGCTCAAGGACAGTACTCTACAACTTGAGCCACAGATCCACTTCTGGCTATCTTTTGTTTTTGATGCTTACTTGCTCTTTACTGTCCAAGTTGGGTTTAAACCATGATCCTCAGATCTCAGGCTCCTGACTAACTAGGATTATAAGGCATGAGCCACCAGCACCTGCCTTGACTTAGTTATTAATTGTGTAGATTGAGTAAAATTGACAAAATTGGTTTCCATTGATAATTCAGACTTTTATGATATGTGACTTCATTCATTGTATTATAGTGAAACAGTGAAAATTTCATTCCAAACACAACACAAATTAAAAAAAAATATCCAGTGCCTCTTTATCTCAGAAAATGTGAATTCTTACAAAGCCATGTTGTCTTTTGCTGAGGCAAATAGGAATTCTGAATAAGGTCTACTTTTTATGTTGTCTAGCAATCATCCTGTTAGCTCTCCTTGATGCCAACATTTATGTCACAAACAGAAGAAATCATTATTTACATGATGCAGAGCTATCATCATCGGCAGAGCTAAGAGTAACCAAAGCGCATTCTACTGTATTTCTAATGCAGCATGCAACCATTTCAACTACAGAGACCAGTACAATGTTCAACAAGGAAATGAGAAAAATCTCATGTTAGAAACACACTGCTTGACAGCTATCTTAACAAAAAGAAAAGAAAAAGAGAGAAAGGATTTGTCTTCATATCTTAGAAAGCAAAACAAAAATAAATAAACAAAACTCAACAATCACAAAATGAAATATTTGGTCCTTATGTATCTAAATAGTGAAAGCAAATGAGAACAACAGAAAACAGTCAAGAACTTAAGAAGGGTTACAAAGAGTCCAGGTATACCAGCGCCGGGGTAGGAATATTTTCTTTGGGGCTGGTTACCACGTTGGCTTTGTTGTTTATCTGTGGGTATGCAGAAAATAGAAACAGAGACACCTTGAGCCCCTTGATAGCCAATGTCTCTATATGCAGCATGTCTACATGGAGATATAGACATGAAAATAAAGAGCCACTGAAGATGGATATGATAGACACAATGATGATTGAGGGAATGAGGATCACAGTTAGTCTCCGCAGGTCACACACGAGCTAGGACCCTGCCTGTGATGGATGGTGATAAAATAACACATATGGATGCTTTGCCTGTGCTATGTAAGCAAACAGACAAAGAAGAGCTTCAATGAGGCTCAAAGAAAGACTTAGAGTATGAGGTAATTATAGCCATTTCATACTCCTCAAGTAAGACTTTATTTCCAAGCTTCCAATTGTTCACTGTTATAAACACATTCCATTTTTTTGTCCTTTCTATTTTATTCCTGAACCTGAAATCACATATAAACCCTCTATCTCTGGGGAGCTGTCATTACTTAGTTCATTAGATAGCCAATTAAAAACTTGGATTTTCTGAAAGAATGTGTCAAAATAGTTTTGTTTTTAAGGCGAGTCTGGGTCTCTGTTAAGAAACGTTATCTTCAATTATGTATGGGAAATGAAATTCTTCACTGTATGCTTCAGGACAAAGAACTTCATTTTTCATAATACTGAAGACAAAAATACTATGGTTATTCTCCAAGCGTTATTAGTACTGTAGAAGAGTATGTTTGGTACTACCATTCCTTCACCCCATTGTTATACACAATTGAATTTGCCTTTAAAGAAGACAAACAGCTTTCCCACCATGGGCACCATGTTGAGAAAGACACTTGAGAACCAATGAATAGTGTAATGGCTCACAGAGAAAACGCTTTGTAGACAAGTGGCAACTTGGAACTGTTAATGACTTGAGGAACTAAAGAATAAAAGACTTAAAAAAGTAATAACATTATTTTAAACTCATGCAGGACACATCATATTAGGTTACCAAACACAAATGTAAGCCAGCATTCAGTATTTTTGTCACATATTATTTTCCAAAAGAATGTGTCCCACAATTCTAAGATGAATGGAAATATACTTCTGTACTTATACACATACTGCATAAAATCAATGAATATTTACAAGTGATTACGCTAGTAATCATTTGGGCTTTTTGGAAAAGTATATAATGTATTTCTATAGGTTGGTTTTTAAGTTTGCCTCAATTAATTAATTATTTTTTGTGCTGGTATTGGGGCTTACAAGCCTGGATGATGGCACTTTGCTTTGTCTCGTGGGGCTGATGTTTTACTACTTGAGTCACAGCTCCACTTCCAGTTGTTTTATCAGTTAATTGGAGCTAAGAGTTTCATGTGCTTTTTCTGTTTGGGCTGGCTACAAACCTCAATCCCCAGATCTCAGACTTCTGATTAGCTAGGATTACATAGGCATCAGCCTGCCTATAGGTAGTTTTGAAATAGCCATTGATAGGAAGATAGAAGGCACCAAAAATAAATATAAGTATGTCATGTTTTGCTTTTCTGTTCATTATTAGTTAGAGGGTTATTGGAATCAGTATTATTTTAATAAGCTGCAACACTGTGCTCTGTGGCATGCAGAGAAAGCTTTTTTATTCTAAAACTTTATTAACTATTAAGTCACCATTGTATACTTGCAGATAGTTTTAGAAAAAAAAACTTTTTGTTTAAATCAGAGTGCACAGAATTTAACACAAAATTTGTGAGCAGCCAGCGATAAAAGGTCATATAATCTGTTATACAGGGATCACAATGTATATATGTTAGTATAAAATCGTGATAAAAATGTAGGGGATGCAGACACAAATATAATTGGCTTCTTGTCAAGTGATTCAAGTTCACGTGTATTGAATATACTCTCCAGTTTCTATCAGCAAATGAAAGAGAAATAGTCTGATTTATTTTAATACTGTTTTGAGGTGGATGACTTTCATTCTAGAGTATGCTTGCTAAGAACTGCTTTTTATTATTTTAGTGAAAACTTTCCAAATGTACACCTTTGTAAACTTAGCCCTATTTTCTCTCTCTCTCTCTCTCTCTCTCTCTCTCTCTCTCTCACACACACACACACACACACACACAGTACCCTCTCTTGACTCTTTCTCTCCCATTCTATACAGGTAAAGAATTCTTTATCATCCTATATGGGAAATATGAGTTAAATGACAGCTACTTTCAATCATGCTTACCTATGCACATAAATCTTTTTTATGTTTTTTGTTGTTAATGTAAACTTAGCTTGATAATCTTTTTTTAAAAAACTGTGGGAAAACCTTTGGAGGTATTCATCATATGAATTATTTCAACAATAATTAGAAAATTAAGTTAAAAAGCTAGAAGAACCTCCTTTCAAAGAGTCAAATGTCAAGTAATGGTTTAATGGTTTAACCATAACTATGTCTTTTATATGTATAAATGAATGCAGTTATTTTTACATTATGGAAAGAGAGTTTTTTGTTTTGCTCTTCAGAAACATCGGAGTAGACTCAGATATTTAAATGATGTACTGAATTGCTCTTACAAGGCAAGGACAAAATATGAAGTATTGAAGTTCATAAATGTCGAGGTTAATTCATACTTCCTCTACAGTGTTTAGCTAGAATGGATCTACTGTAAGATTGCTTTCACATATTTTACAAACTTCAAGGTTAATATATCACAGTCTATTTGAACAAAAAAAACTCTTCTATTTTAGTAGGCATGATTGTTTTAAGATAATCCTATAGTATTTCTTCACTTTTGAGTAAACACCACATAATTGGCATGATCTCTTTAGTTTTGAGGATAAAAATCTGAATTGTGTCCTTATAGAAGATAAACCCATTAATAGCCTGTGGATAAGGGATTAGCTTCTTACATCTAAAAAAAATTAATTGCAGAAGGGAACAATAAAACCTCAATATCATGTCAAGGTGGGATTCTATGTTTGGCTAGTTGAATAATACTGACTAGGAATGATGCTACTTTCTCCATTCTCACTAAATTAGGTAAATAAGACTGTTTTATTCTTAAATGTGATTTTTTTTTTTCAGGAAGAGAAATCTGGCAGAGAGAGAGAGATCCTCACCATCATCTGAACACTCGAACTGGACTTCCTTTTCTGAATTGACCAGTCAAAGAGAAAGGAAAAGAAAAAAAAATATATGACCGGTTGAATTTAAAGTACCAATATATGGAATACAGAGTATTTTTGTCCAATGAGAGAAAAAAGCTAGGAGAGAAAAAAATTCAAAAAAGATTCAATTCTGTTAAAGGATAGTAGTGAAAATGAGTATTTCCTAGGAAACCTGAGCTTTCCGTTACTGAGTGATATAGAAAATCCCACGGGAAAACAGTTGGATAACTTCAAAGTATTACATTTTCACCAATGTAAGTGCTGGGAATAATATGCACATTGACTATCATTATTGAAATCTAAATGACTGCAATCTAAACTGAATGAAGAAAGTGGAAGGTACAATAACAGGTTAAGGAAAGGTACTGGCAAAGGGAAATACCATCCTAACAGGAATCATAAGTGAATGGTCCCCATGGCTCTGGAAATTCCCAGTTGCACACACAAGAGGTGAAGAAATGGCTAGGCATGAACACAGGAGGGACAAATGATTTGCCATGTCAGAGTTTTCTATATGAACTGACCGCTTTGCTTTGGGTCAAGTTCACATATTAAAATATTAGACCATGAATTAGTTTCCAACAATGCTGAAGCATGGATGAGGAATGTGTACAATCTGCTATTGGAAGAGAAAGAAAAGGGTTAAAAAATTAAAACATTTAGGTGAGACTGTGGAAAGATAACAAATACGATTATGCAGATATTAAGGTTACATTTTTTTTACTAAAACATACATTCCCTTGAAATAAAATATAACCTATAGCAAATAATGGTATTACTATGACTAGAAATCCAAGAAAGTCAAAATATTGTGCCATCTTTCTTGGAGGGGTTTCTATCATTTGTTCACACTCTGTACCTGGAATACATCTGCAAACCTTATAACAGAAACACAAGAACAGTTAAGATCTTCAAAAAAAAACTTCTCAAGCAGAGAAATTTGGTCATAGGACATCCAATTTTCCAGACTGTCTAAAAGATATTACCTAGTTTTTGGTGACATTTAAGGATACATTAAAATTACTTGGAAAAGAATATGGTTTCTGCAGAGAGGATTTAGAATTAGTTTCTATAGGAACTCTATATAATAGTATAATTTTCATTATCACTTAATATATAATAAAATAGAAAGATAAAACTTTTTATTAAACCATTAAATTATTTGATATTTCAGGCTTCATCCTTAAAAAAATACAAGGTGTCAAAACCTGAGACTTATATTTCAATAATATAAAATTGTCCAACATCTAAAATTAAGAAAAAAAATGCTTCAAGAGCATCCATGTAACTTACCTTCACTCCATCTGGTTTTTTCAACAAACTCTTGGCTGCTGTAAAATGAGAATAAAACCAATTTAATGAGATACTCAGACAGACCCAAAGTTAGGTTGCTGCTAAGACATTATCTCCTGCCACGTCTATTGGGTTATGGTCAACAAATGCCAAGTCAAGGTTACATTGATGAGCGCGAGCTTACAGACATTGAGATACAGTATCACTTTTCTGGATTTTACCACCACAGATTCCAAACTCAATTCTTCTGTAGGTGATTACATGAAATTGCATACGTTGCCAAGTTGTGTTACTGGACTTTGTTTTACTGGAGGTTGCGAAAAGGATACTGGAACTTTAACTGGACTATGCTTTTGCAATCCAGTAAGTTGGTAATCAGTCTTTAGACATCAGCGGACAGCTTGTATCATGTGCCCATTCACACCACAAGTATGGCACTCAAGTCAGTTCTGCCACTGAAGCCCTTCTTGCCAGAGACGTAAACTCATTTGTAAAAATTTGCTCAGGCCAAACATCCTGGGATTTTTGAAATCAGATCATTTTCAGCTTTAGAAAATTTTAACAACTATCTAAAATGACCTGGAGCGAATTTTTTTTAAATGCTAAGCATATGATTTTTAAAAATGACACGTATTCTTTGACATTTCAAAATCAGAATACAAAGGCTTCCCAAACAATACCATTTTAAAATGAAAAATGAAAAGCTATAAAGTTTGAAACAAGATAGAAGAAAATTCTAGAATATGTGGTCATCTACCAGACTTCATTTTTCTTAGAGGAAGCCTTCATTATTGCTATTATAATTGAACTTCTTGAATATAGTAAAAGGTGAGGTCATCTTTTCCAAAATGTCCTGATAACAGGTACATAGATACACCCATTAACTGATAATGTAACTGTCAACAACAATTTGTATACAACTGTAGAGCATTTACACATGTGAAGAACGAAGTACACATTTCCACTTAATGTTAATTATGTATAACTATTTAAGCATGTCAAAATGGAATTTGGCATCTGAAATGGAAATACATAGCTATAATAAAACAGCATGAGCATGTCATTTCCTGATATTTCCTTGACTTGAGTCATTAGATCTGGAATAATTTAAAATTTTATCTAAAGTTATTAGCAGCAAAGCTATTAATTTACTATCAATTGAGATTGCTAAGAAATAGTTGCCTTAACTTTACATCTTGTTTTCCTGGAGCTCAAATACAATGTTTAAGAAATCCCGTGGCAGTTAGTAGGTTAGAAAGCAAACTCAGAATAATTGGAATTGCAATGGCAAGCATAAAGACAATGATTCAGGGTAAGCAGCGATTTGGCCTGGGAGGTGCAGAAATGTGCCTTGTGCTTTCTATCACCTTACCTCACAAGAAATACATTCCACATACAGAGAGAAAAGAAAGAAAATAAAAAAGAGCTTTATCACCATATACTTATGGACAGATCAAAGAGCATGTTTGGCAATGAAACAGAATGAATGAAATACTCAAAATTAAAATGCAACATCAGTATAAGATGTAACTAAATTATATGAGTCCAGTGTTATTCAGCTGATTTTTTTGTTTTTAGTGATGGATATCAGAAGTTTGTTTTCATGCTATGATAACATTCAGAAACAGTATAAAATCCACTTATTAGTCATGAGTTTTTGGTTTATAAGATGATGGAGAGGAAACTAAAAAAAGGCTTCTATAAGTGGATGAGAACATTACTTAATAAAGGCCCAATTCATGCCCAAGAGTATATTTAACATTTCAATAAAATACACATTTTTACTTCTGGAGATTTTTAAAAAATGTAAGTTTGCTAGTAACAGTATATACTGTATAATTCATTCTACCTTTTGGTGACTTACTAATTAAGGGATCACAGTGCAATACTTCTTTAACCTATATTAATCAATACTTAATGAGATGGTATTAAATTCACCCATATAAATGTCAATCACATCAATGAAATGTTTATAAAACAGGCAACTTGACAAGAGGCAACAAATTTACGACACCAAACAAATCGGACAAACTCTATAACTGACAACAGTCTTTCAATGTGTAGTATTGTTTTGGTGCATTACTATTTGTGTTGTAGTTGTTCAACAGCCTTTGGCTTCCAATTCTCTAGGTGAAGGGAAAGGGTTCGGCTACTTGTTACACCTAATAATAATAATACAGTAAAATTTTCCCACCTGATAATGATAACACAGTAACATCCATGCCAGGTAAAATAAAAATAATGAAAGAAACAGCTGGCACTGCAAGTCTCTAATACATAGACAGTGTGCTAACTGAAATGGTAGTATAGTTAGCACTAACTTCTGACAACTGTACTAAACTGAAATGTCTAAATTATAAGCTTACCTAGTACAGCTCCAGTTCCTCCACTTTCACATGACTGATTAGTATTGCTCAAACTTTGTTTTTTTTTGGAAACCATATGCTTTGAGATAATCTAACAAAGGGGTTTCAGGTCGCCCATATTTAACAAACATTATTATTATTTTAATTATTAACATAATAATGAGTATTACTAACCATAGAATTATTTTCAAGAACATGTATTATCCTTATGGTACCCCATGTTCTGTTCTCTGTAAGTTCTTGAGTTGATATCTTTGGTTAGATATCTTGAAACAATTGTGATTAGCCTTGTGTGTCAGAATATTATTGTACTTTTGAAAGAATTTAGGTCAAAGAAAACCAGATTGGCTAGTAACTGTATTCTTTTTTAAAAAGCGTTTACTTATTAGAATTCCCAGTGAGAGTGAGAAACCTTATTCATAGTTAGTACCTCATGAAATGATCAATTAATACATCACAAATTCTACACATTGAACTCTTGAGTGGATACACATCTCTACCACTTGCGTGCTCCAACACTGGACAGTTCTATTCATTATTAGTACTGACTATTGGACAGAGCTGCTCCTGTGAGGACCACAGTCCCATGATGCTCTGTGGCAGACAGTATGATGGCAGCCATAAGTGTGGAGGGAATGTAGGGCTCACATTTGCTATTTCTGAACAGCCAAGTTTTCCTAATTAGTAGATACTTTGATTTCTTTAAAAAAAATATTGCCGGGAATCGGTGGCTCACGCCTGTAATCCTAGCTATTCAGGAGGCTGAGGTCTGAGGATTGTGGTTCAAAGCCAGCCCGGGCAGGAAACTCCGTGAGATTCTTATCTCCAATAAACCACCAGGAAACTGGAAACTGGTGCTGCGGCTCAAGTAGTAGAGCTCTAGTCTTGAGCTGAAGAGCTGAGGGACAGCACCCAGGCCCAGAGTTCAAGCCCCACGACGGACAAAAAAATAAAAAAAGTAATATGTGTGTGTGTGTGTGTGTGTGTGTGTGTGTGTGTGTGTAACTAGCTGAACAAAGGGGTTTCAACATGTCAATGAATGCATCTTGATTGATTAAGTTGCACTTTATTGTGCCATTTCCATTATTCTCCCCCATTGTTCCCAAAGTCAAATGTCATGGTCCAAGGCTGAATCAAGGTCAGTTAAAGGTATGAGAAATCAAGATTTGAATTCCAAACCAGATTTCAGTGACTTCCACCACTATGAAATCATGCAAATCAAGGGATGGCTCCCAATGAAAAGAAATTGAAATATTATTAGTAAAAGTAAGGAACCATACTACTGGGCACACAAACGTTCACAGGTAACAATCCTTTGGGAAGAAAGGTTTCTTTTTTGAATCAGAACAAGTAAGCATGACTAAACTGAGAGCCCAAGAATATCTGGCTAAAAGAAAACACCACTGAGATATTCTGATTTCTGGAAATGAGAAGCGGGGAGGGTAGGGAAGGATAGAGGGAGGGATAGAAAAGGAAAAGGGAGAGAGAGAGAGAGGGTGGGAGGGAGGCAAAGGATTATAGTTCTTAATGCATGTACCTGAAAAATTCCTTGTAGCCAGCATGGTTGTCAAGATGGCACCCTATGATAGAAATAAGACAAAAGTCAATGCTGCCCCTGCACATCTCTGACCTAACAAACATAGAGTCTTGGATAACCAATCTTCCAGTTGTATTTTTCAATTAAGGGAATTTTGATTGTTTGATTTTTGGTTTTAGGATAACCAATCTTCCAGTTGTATTTTTCAGTTAAGGGAATTTTGATTGTTTGATTTTTGGTTTTGGTTTTTCCTTTAGTTTCCTGGAAGTCCTGTGGCTCCCAGGATTCTGGGACCAGCTTTAGATGATCAACTTGCCTAGCTGTTTTCCACTTGAAGGAAGCAGTCACAGCACACATCAAATCATCCTACAATTGATTCTGAGGGAATATTCATATCCCCAGAGCCCAGGAAAAGAATATGAATGTCAACATGTTACATGTGAAAAGTTCTTGCTGAAAGTTATTTTTTCTCCATTAGAAGTACACTTGTCCCCTCCTCACAACAGTGTATAATTCCTTACCTTTAGTTTTCGTCTTGCATTAAATTTCTTCAAGCAGTCTACAGTCTCCTGTCTGTGCATCATGGAAGCAACAGTAGAACGTTGCTGTATGGAGAGAAGAAAGGGGAGGATAGTTAAAGCACATGGAGCATAATAAATAGCATTCACAACTTCACTAAATCTTTGTTGCTAGTGCATCCATGCCTATGATCCAATGATCTGAGTCGTAAATAGCCATTGAACAAAATTACCTAAAATGAAAAGAATGACTTTGTCAAAGCTATTCGTGACTAAGCTGAAATATTTACATACTGAAAGTGTAAAATAATTTCACTAGTTTCTTAATTTATCTGTGTCAATATGTATTTTAGCACATTTTTATGGCACTGCCTTTCATTTACTTGGTACTGTATTGTTCTGACATGTGACATTTACCCTCAGAAACTTACTGCAGGTTTTAGATTCCCCCTAAGTTTCCACTGTTATTTCTTAGTGCTTCTTAGTATATTCAGACATCTCTAGCTGTCCTTTTATGCAACTAAACCTTTAATCCAAGATTTTAAAATTCAGGCATGTGTCTGAAGCTGCTAAATAATGCATAATTGAACTTAGTCTGATTTTTCTCTTTTTTGGATTGCAATAAAAACTTGTTATTTTCTTAACCTCAGTGAGTCTTGTCAATCATTGGTATAATGCATACTCATTCCTTGTGTCCTGGGACAAGTTTTCCTTAGTTATTTGCACAAATCAGCCGTTCTTAACTGGAAATGATGTGGTTGTTTTGCTCTCATGAAATTCATTTTGTTCAATCTCTTGGATGAAAAATGCACACCTTTTTAGGTGCATCTTTTTTCAGTAATATTATTTTAAATCCATTGAAAAAACAGACAAGAGGTTCCTTCGGTTCCAGGTTGTTGGGCTGGTACTTACACAGATCCATGGATGCTTCAGTGCCTCAGAAGCTGTGATCCGTTTGGCAGGGTTGATGGTAAGCATTTTGTTAATGAGGTCTTTAGCTTCAGGAGTCACCGTGTCCCATTCTGGTGATGGAAACTTCAAAGATATAAATTTGTAAAGAGGTTTTTTTTTTTCTTTTTGAAAAGATACACTCAGCCAAACAGGGAAGAGCCAAATATATTCATCATTTCTGCAAGTAATCAATTGTATAAATTAAATTATTACATTTAAAATAGAGGAGTGTATCTAGATCAACTAACTGATCTAGATGTAGACAAATAAATTTATCTCTAGAGAAAATAGATAAATATCTGGATAGATTTGTCTAGACAAATATATAGCCGCTATGGTATAAAACTATATACAGGAAAAAAAAACTACATACAGTTTTAAAGAGAAATGAAAAAGAAACCTATATATATTTATAGCCTAAATTTCATTTTATACATAGTCAATGCATTTTAAAATTTAGAAAAGTTAACAAGAATCTTCTGTTCTTCCCAAATATTATTCCTTTGATCTGAAACTGAGCATATATGAAATCTACTTGCATAATGATTTGCAATCCCAGCAAAAGCAGTCACTCTGAACCATGCGTCAATGCCATCCTACCACTTTGTCAGTGTTTGCCATGTGAAAATTATGACCTTTCAGAAGTCATGAGCAGTAATAGCAGAGGTAAGAAAACAGCTTTAATTCCTAGACCAAAAATGATGGATTAATTGTGGCTGCTTACAAGGCCACAGTAAGAAGAAATCTGACACTACAAAAGCATCAGCAGGACTTCAGATTAGAACCTGAAGAAAAGTTACCAATTTCAGTAACCAAATCTCAGAATTTCCATCTTATGTTAACCTTCATTTAATGAAGCTATTTATCCTCTTCATTTTTTGTGTTGGTAATCATTTAACTTTCTTTGCATGTAATTAGAATATTAGCATACTAGGAATAATGTTCTTCCTCAGTTAAGAGAAATGTATTTTAGTTGTATCTTAATGACAGGATGTAGAGTTCTTTTCCTGGTTTCAGCTTTTTTAATAATCATGTAATACAAAATTATTGTTACTATGTGGTGGACTTTAGTTAGTATACTTTTAGTACTTATAGAAAAGGCAAAGAAAAAACCTCTTGTGTCCATATCTGTGGGTTCATTTCACGTAGCATCATCTTATGTGGTCATATGTACTTAGCTCTTGACCTTTTCTACTTGTCTGGTAAGATTATGCTAGAAATATATTAGTTATTGCAAATAAGGGAAACCATGGGATCTATGTTTCTTTGGGTCTGGCTTACTTTACTTAATATAATTTTTTCCAAGTCTTTCCATTTCCTACAAATGAGGTGGTGTCATTCTTTCTCATGGTGGCATAGAATTCCATCGTGTACATATATATATATGTATATATACATATATATGTACACATATACATATATATGTATATATATACACATATACATACGACATTTTCTTGATCCATTCACCTACTGAGGGGCATTGGGTTGGTTCAACATCTTAGCTATGGTGAATTACGCTGCAATAAATATAGTTGTACTGGTAGCTTTAGTATGGCCTTGTTTGTGGTCATTTGGGTAAATGCCCAAAAGTGGGATTGCTGGGCCATAGGGGAGCTCTATGTGTAGTGGACACAAGAGGATTTTTTCTTTGTTGATGTTGTTTTTAATGTACTATGTTTTTTCTTTGTTTCTTTTGTATGTTCTTCCCCCATGGTATAACCCCTGTTGTCACTGTATTTGATTCTGGTGCTTTGCATCTTGTATATACATTATTCTAAATTGGGGAGGAGAAGGGAAATAACAAAATGCTGAAACAAGGGTACAGGTTGACCCATAGTAACAATGAGACATACAAGGTACTATGTTGAAAATGAACTTTACAACTTCCCGGGGCCATGGGGGGTGAGGGAGGTGTTAGGGAGATGAGGAGGGAAGGGATGGTAGAGGGAAAAACAAAGGAGGGGGTAATTATGTTCCTGTTCCATAGGAAATGTACTCATTACCTTACTCATGTAACTGTAACCTCTCTCTACAGTATCTTTACAATAAAAAAATAAAAACAAAGGCAGCATGTGACCTAAGTGGTTTTGTTTTTGCTTTTATTTTTGTTGGTCATGGGACTTGAGCTCTGGACCTGGGTGATGTCCCTGAGCTCTTCAGCTCAAGACAAATGCTCAACCACTGGAGCCACAGTACCACTTCCATTTTTCTGGTGGTTTGTTGGAAATAAGAGTCTCACAAACTTTCTTGCCCAGGCTGGCTTTGAACTATGATCCTCAGATCTCAGCCTGAGGCATGAGTCACCAGCACCCGGCTGTTTATATAAAGTTTTAAAAGACAAGACCCTGCTACACAGCTTGGGCTAGGCACAAACTCTCCATTTTCCTGCTATAGCCACCTGAAGTTAGAATTACAAGCATACACTATGATACCCAGCATTATTTCTTATTGTTTATCTCCCTTTTTTAATGGGACAGAAGAAAAATAATAAGGAAAACTCTTAAAAATTATGGCTAAGAAGACAATAAAAAGTGCAGTTCTTTGTCAATAGACAAAAACTGAATTAATTTGTAAATACGGTATCTGAACTGCTATGAATGCTTATTACATACATCATAAGCTCCAGCCTTGATCTGCTGATAGAGTCTGTGTTGGTCTTCATCCCAGAAGGGTGGATACCCCACCAGCAGAATGTAGAGAATGACACCTGGAAGAAATTAGCATGAGAACAGAATGTAAGTCAGATACAATGCTACTAAGCTGCACCCTTTGAAACAAAGGGAAGTACATTGCAGAAAATTTGAGAGAGAGAGAGAGAGAGAAGATGATGATGATGATGATGATGATAGCTGTTCTCAAGCCCTGTGCATTGTGGAGGGTGAAGGCTTCCTCTGCTATGATAAAGCGCTCTGACATTGGGTTACACCACTACATGGAGAAGAGCTAACCTAGTCAGAACTTGCGAACTAGTAGCATAAAAAGCAGTGACCTCAATATATACCATAATCTAAATGCAACCAGAAAATATATTGATTAAACAGTGATGCATGAGAATACATCACCTTATATGTAAAATGTGTGTGATGTACCTTTCATGGTACCTGAAGGAAAAAAGTTAACATGGGGAAAACAGTAATTCTAGGCCAATAGCAGTGACTTACAAGTGTAACCAAAAAGTTCACTATGATGTTAACAGTAATGGGCATTTTCCTCAACTGTGTGACATTACAGCATCTAATCAAGAGTATCACACCTTGAGCTATCGAATTGCAAGGCATTTCTAGAAACATGACTAAAGGGTACTCACTGCCTCTCAATAAAATGAGGATTGGAGGCATGGCTCAGTTGGCAGAGCCCTAGATGATGAGTGGAGGCACCAGGTACCAAATCTGAGTCCAGATCTTAGATTCCCCCCCTTCCCCCCCCCCCACCATAAAGAAAGAAAAGAAAATAGAAGCCTGGGGCTTGGTTTATCACAAAGAAATGTGGCTGTGTACAGAACATTGTGTGAAGAAAGCAAAGGGCAGAATAGGGCACAGTGAAAGACCACCACAAATTAGGCTTGAACCCCTGAATTGCCCTCCATAAGTTCTGAAGTCATTCATAAATTCATAAGACCCGTGTGTGTGTGTGTGTGTGTGAGAGAGAGAGAGAGAGAGAGAGAGAGAGATGTGAAGGAGTATGTGTGTGTATATGTAAGAGTGTGTATTTGTATCTAAGAATATGTGTGTGCATGTGGTTGTATATATATGAGGCAATGCGTGCAAGAGAATGTGTGTAAGAGAGTGTGCATGTGAATTGTTTTGATTTCTTTTCAATGGGTCTGATATTACTCATTACCAACAAAATGTATACAATATTAAAAAAAATGTTTTTTGGTGTAAGAAGCAAATTATTTATTTAAATTTTTGGACCCGATAAAATGCTAGTAAAGAACTGTGAAATGTAGCCACAAGAAAATGTTTTACAAAACAAGAAAAATAAAATAATGAAAAGAGAAAGTTAAAAAATAGAGAGAGAGCGCCAGAGAGAAAGGGTGAAGGAGAGGCAGAGGGACAAAAGAGAAAGAGAAATCTAATATTCAGATAATCCACTGAATGGAGCTTCATAGTATTTAACTCTCATACTGTTAATACTAGTTGCTTATTAATTTTTTTTAAGTCTAAAGTAAGGCTCTAATGAGTTTTCTGGTAACTTCACTTCTAACGAAGCACTTTCTCATAATAATGGCAATTATAACTAACAATTATAACATTAAAAAAAAACTCTTTGGGGAAGCTATGAGGCCAGCACTATGATTATTTCCATTTACAAGAAGAGGCTGAGATCCAGAAACTAAATAAGTCATGCTCTGTCATACAGCAAGTAACCCGAGCAGCTGCATGTGTCCACTAACCCCTATACAAACAGCTTCCAACCTAAGCAGTGGATAGGAAGGAGGAAGAAAACAAAAGGAGAAAATCGGGAGAAATCTACAAACAGGAGGCGTGATTAAGAAAAATGTCAGACAACCTCTGTCAATGCAGGCAAGGAAAGACCACAATATGCCCACTGTACCAGCCCTCACAGCCTCATTACTGCCCATCCTTCTAGGTTGTTAAGGTCCAAACACAGTATCTTACCTCCAGAGGCTACCATATTTCACAAAAATATGGCCCTATCATTTTTTTTTAAGCCTTTAAGATTGTGACTGTATATCTTGCACATCGTCTGTCAGTGTCTGCCAGATTCGGGCCCTACTAAGGCTTTCCAAGTTGATCAGCAGAGACAGATCTTGCACTGGGAACTAATTTACTGCAAGGGAAGTATTCGAGCTATTCACCATTAGCATTTAGATTTGGACAGGAACATTCTGGAGCAATGCTCAAACTCAAAGGCATTTTGGAGTTGATCCTAGAGCATAGTGAGGCCTAAGTGGAGAGGAGAAAGACAGACTTGGACTTGTTTGTCTCAGACCTTTGCCGCCAAACAAGTGTCATTTTCAATGTTTTAGAATGACAATGGCTGTTTACATTTTAACTCCTTTTTATTTGCTACAAAATGTTTTCCCTTAGGAAAATGTTGACACTCTCAGTTGCATGAAGGAAATGCATTCTTATTTTATAGGAAAGAAATCAACTCTGAGATACTACAGACACAGAGTTATGAAAAATATTTGAAACCAAGTATCATGACTAAAAATACAGTTCCCTGATTATACCTGCCTTTGTAGGCATGGAGGAAACTTTGAAGGCCCAGGATACAATCCAATTTAAGATTAAATATCAACCTTGGTATTGCTAAGGACACAAAGAAATATACTGTACAGTAATCTGTCATTATGGCACAGTGTTGAGAGATGTATTTACTCTTTCAAAAAAATTACAGCCAAATCTAAAACATTATTCTGATAACATTTAAATAAAAGTTTTAGTTAACACCTCTCAGGCTGAGTGAAAGCTGTTGCCAGTACACTAAAGCCAAATTATGGGAGTCAAATACCTATTTATAGACTAGTGGGAATGATACTGTCAAAACCCAGAAAACTAATTGATGTTGATAATCTTAGGAGAGAAGTGATTCAGAGTATCTCTCAGCCTCCCCTTTATTCCAGCCTCTGACCTATATGTTGAAATGGAGAAATATCATTGTAAGATGTGAGGTTGAAATCCTCTCCATTTTGTCCTTGTCCTTGGGACTTTCTTTGATTAGAGTTGGCTGAGAAAGCCTTCAATCAGAGCTTAGTCCTTATAGGCTAATCAATTTATTTCCCTAACTGTCATTTGGGAGGCATCTTGGTTTCATACAAAATTTACTGGAAGGGTGGGCGGAGCTGTTAGGGGACAGAAATAGGAACTTAGCATCACTATGAACTCTACCACATCCCACATTTCAAACTGGTGCCAAGAAATACTGCTGGGTGCTGTTGGTTCACGTCTGTAATCCTATCTATTCAGAAGATCTGAGGACTGCAGTTTGAAGTCATCTCTGGACAAGAAAGTCCAGGAGACTCTTATGTCCAATAAACTACTTTTAAAAAAAGCTATCACTTGTTGCTCAAGGGGTAGAGTGTCAGCTTTGAGTAAGAGAAGCTCAGGGACAGCATCTGGACCCTGTGTTCAACCTCAGGATGGGCATAAAAATAAATGAATAGACAGGCACTGGTGGATCATGCCTGTAATCCTAGCTACTCAGCAGGCTGAGATCTGAGGATCATGGTTCAAACTCAGCCCAGGCAGGAAAGTCCGTGAGACTCTTATCTGCAATAAACCACCAGAAAAACGGAAGTGGTGCTGTGTGTCTCAAGTGGTAGAGTGCTCACCTTGAGCTGAAGAGCTGAGGGACAGCGCCCAGGCCCAGAGTTCAAGTCCCATGACTACCAATACATAAATAAATAAATAAATGTTCCCACTCCACATCTACTGAATCAAAAACACAAGATTGCTGGTTAAAGCAAACATTGCTTTGTAAAAAGATTATACAATAGGCCAACGTTTGAGGATTTCTTCTAGAATTTCTGAGGTGATCAGTAGGGAGCATCAAGTAAAAGAAACTGATTTATTTTACTTTTATATATTTGTGGTCTTTTATTTAAAAGTAAGCAGATAATATCACAAATAGAAACATATATTTCTTTCCTTTAAAATGATGTTGGGAATGTTACCATACTGTTAACACTAAGTGACATTGAATTTCTATTAATAATATAAACATCGACTAAATACTTGTTATATAATACAGTATCCTAATTATTTATACATTAAAAAAATTTAATCCTCACCATAATATCTTATATAAGTACAGAATCATTATTTTATCTTCTATAGAAGATGAAACTGTAGGGCAAATGCAAAATAACTTGTTCATTACAGGCCTAAATCTATTTATTAGCTATTCACTATAGTACAGAATCATAAATAACTTGTATTCATTAAAGGCTTACATTATTTCATTCTAATTCATGCCATGCTCATGAAAACAATCCCACTTTACGTTGTAACAATACGGATGGTTGTAGAATGAGTATTTGTGTTCTCTCCAATTCCTGGCTGAAATCCTGACCTGCACTATGATAGCCCCAGGAGGTAGGGGCTCTTCTAGGCTAGAGACCCTTTGAATGGAATTAGTGTCCCATGAAAGAGACCATGCAAAGCTCCTTGTCCCTTCTACCATGTGAAGACCCGAAGGAAAGGTGACCATTTATGAACCAGAAGGCAGGTCCTCACAAGGCTCAGTCTGCCAGCTTTTTAACCTTGGACCTCCTAGTCTAGAACTGTGGGAAATACTTTTTAAAATGTTGAAGTTATTCAGATTTTGGTTATTTTATGTATTTATGTTTTTCATCCTAGCTCAGTGGAATAAATCCTTGAAGTGTTAGAGAAAATTTACTTGAAACTATGGTTTCTTACCACATGCCCACATATCCACTGGCTTTCCATAAGGGTCTTTGCGTAAAACTTCTGGGGACAGGTATCCAGGTGTGCCGGCGAAACCTAGGAAAACAGATTTGTGCCAGTCAGAGCCAGAGTCACTATGAAATGAAGAACCTGAAAGGAAAACATTTATGTGGTGTCCCTAAATAACGAAATAAGAAAAACTTTCCAGAATACCAAACTAGTGGAGACCAGTTTCTCTTATTCAATATCGATCTTTCTGTCTATATTTTTTTCCAGATACAGAGGCCAATCTATTGGGAATGTGCCACTTTTGGTTAGGTGATGATGACTGCTTCCATTAGAGTAAAAATCCTCAAGCCGAAAAGAAGTAAGTAGAAAATGGAAGAGAGGGTTAGAACTTTGCAAAAGATCATAGTTATCATGATACCCAAACAACTTTATTATGATAATTAGTCACTTATGAAGGAGTTTGATATAAAAGGCATATAATAAGGACAAATTAAAAGCAACTTCCAGAAAATAATTGTGAAAGAGCTAGTCTGTAGGCTGTAGGGTGATGAGGGTAGAGACAGGACTAAAAGTAATTGGAGACCTCATCAGGAGAAGAAATAAGCTTAAAATATATCAAAGAGCTCAATGTGTTCTAATAAATAATCAGGCTGTCCTTGTAACTGGCAACTAAAAAGGAGACTCTGGAACATTCAGATGAATCACTGTTGAACTTGTACCAACAAGACTTTCGATCTAAGAGGATCTAGTAAGAAACATGAGATGGTTAAAAAAAATGAAAAGAAAGAGAAAGAGAAAAAGCTGTGAATTATATAAACTGGCATAGAATTCAATAAGGTACATTGAAGTAATTGTAGGATTGATAGAGTCTAAAGCATTTCTTATTTTTGAAACTTAAGTTTTTCAAATAAAAATATTTACTTTAAAAGGACCCAGTGTAACCATTGACATTTGCAAAGTTTTCTTCCAACGCACGAATAAAAACTGGGAGCATATCTTTAGAAGGATAAGTCATAGGAATCTCTCCAGCCGGGAGTCACTGACAAAGCATACTGTGTATTTCTTGGGATGAAAAGTCTCCAAAAAATAATTTTCCCCTCATTTCTCTTATAAATCTGTATTTATACAGGAGGTATAAAAATGCTGGGCACTTACAGGTACTTCTGAAAACAAAATTAGATTAGAAAATGAGTCAAAGGGTGTTTGAATCCACCTCCTTAAGACAAGCAAAACCCATGTGTCTTGAGCTGAACTTAACATGGTCCATGGCTAAATCTACGAAGGTCTCTGCTGCCTCAAGTTTGAGAATTACTTGGAGTGGAGATACTTCTGGTATGCCATACCTACCAATCTCCATTCCCACAATCTTTCTCCAACTCTTCATGACATGAGTCAAAAGAGAATCCAGTGAGAATCCAAGGGACAAAGCTTGATTAAATCCAATGACCAGAGTGCACAGTTTCAAGTCTTTCATCATCTGGTTCTCCTTTATTCATCCAATATGATTTTATTCTCCTTGTGAGCATTTGGCCTGATGGATCTTGTTAACAGTTTCTTGAAAGTGAACTTCCCTTGGTAGACTTGATGCCGTTTTTTGCTGTTATCTAAATCTCTAGCAGACAGCAGTTCTAAATTATTTCCAACCTGCAGTTATCATTAGCTGTCTACATTTCCCAGTGATTCTTTTCCACTCTGGAAAATCACGCTTTAATGTCCAATCTATTGACTACTATCTAAAATTAGTTAGCTGGATGCTGGTGGCTCATGACCGTAATCCTAGCTATTCAAGAGGCTGAGATCTGAGGATCATGGTTTGAAGCTAATTGGGGAAAGAAAGTCTGTGAGATTCTTATCACCAATTAATTACCCAAAATGCTGGAAGTGGTGCTGTGGCTCAAGTGTAGAGAGCTAGCCTTGAGTGAAAGAAGCTCTGGGACTGTACCCAGGTCCTGACAAAAATAAAAAAGTAAACAAATGAATAAAAAGAAAATTAGTAAACTTCAATGCATATATTAAATAGCTTAGAATGTCTGACCCAAAGCAGGAATGTTAATGCTATTCTCTCTAGGAAAAATAGGAAAGTAAGTCACGACATGTGTTTAAAAAGTAACTCGAGATGGGTACTCCTGGCTCATGTCTGTAATCCTAGCTACTAAGAAGGCTGATACCTGAGGATTGCAGTTCAAAGCCAGCCAGCAGGAAAGTCCATAAGACTTTTATCTCCAATAAACCACTCAGAAAACCAGAAGTGGTGCTGTGGCTCAAGTGGTAGAGTGCTAGACTTGAGCCAAAGAGCTGAGGGACAGCGCCCAGGCTCAGAGTTCGGCCCCACAACTGAAAAAAAAAAAACAACCAAAAAACCCCCTCAACCAAAGAACAACAACAAAAAAACCCACAAAAAGCAAAAGTGAACCGCTCAAGTATAGCATTGTGGATCACACCTGTAATCCCAGCACTCAAGAGAGACTGAGGATTTGAGGCAAGCCTCTAGAAATACATAGTAAGATGCTATATGAAACAAATTAACAAAAGTATAAAAAGTTCCCAAACAGTACTAAAGTCTTCAAGCAGGTGAAGCAATGCTGAACAAAAACATGCAAAAACTATCCCAATGCCTGATTTAAACTATATGATAGAGCCACTAGTTACAAAACAACATGGTACTAACACAAAAGCAGGCACACAGACCAATAAAACAGCATAAGTGATCCAGAAATGAGCTCAAGCAGGTGGCCACCTGGTTCTTCAAAAAGTTACCAAATCCGTAACACTGGAGGAAAAAATACTCTTTGTAGCAAGTGATACTAGGGACACGGGATATCTACTTGTAGAAGACTGACATGATCCATATCTCTTACTGTCTACAAAAATATAATTAATAAAACTCATAATTAATGAAGACCTAAAATAAAACCTGAAACTTTGAAACTACTTGAGAAAAAAATCTCAGGAAATGCTTCATTGGGCATAGGTAGTGACTTCCTGAACAGAGCTCCAGTAGCTGAAAAGGTAAGAGTTATGACAGACGGGACATTATCACATTTCAAAGTTTCTGCACAGAAAAACAAGCAATCAACAGTGAGGACACAGAATATAGAAGGGAGGAAAATATTCACCGATTATTATTCATTATTAATCATTATAGTGTTATTAGTCGTTACATCTATCATTCAGTATATTATTATTATGCATCTGACAATGAACTTCATCCAAAATATACGAAGAATGCATGAAGTATAAACCAAAATAATAAATAATCCCATCAATAAATGGGGACATGAACTGAACACTTTTCAAGTGAAGAAGTATAAATAGCTGATAAACATATAAAAAATGATCAATATCCTTAAGTATCAGGGGAATGCAAGTCAAAACTACAATGAGATTCTTCCATCTCTACCCCAAGTCTGAATGGCTATTAAGAAGAAAACAAATAACACGAAATGCAACTCCCTCTCCCAAGGTCATGAAAACAGAGCAGGGATAACTAGGGCAGAGGAATGTGAAAAGGAGGAGTAGGAAGAAAGTAAAAGTTGGAAGTGGGGGAATAAATATGAAGTATACTGTATGCTATTATGGAAATGTTGTGATAAAACACTTTACAGTGAAAACTGGAGTTATACTGTGGGGGAAGAACATACAAGAGAAACAAAAAAAAATCACACAGTACATTTTAAATATGTTAAAAACAATAGCAAGAAAGAAAAAAACCACTCGTGTCCCTATGTTGGGGTTCATTTCACTTAACATCATCTTATATGGTCATATGTACATAGCTTTTGACCTCTTCTGCAGGTGCTAGACTTATATTAGTTATTGCAAATAAGGGAAACCATAGGACCTAGGTTTCTCTGGGCCTGGCTTACTTCGCTTAATATAATTTTTTCCAAGTCTTTCCATTTCCTAACAAATGGGGCGATGCCATTCTTTCTGATGGAGGCATAGAATTCCACTGTATAAATATACCACGTTTTGTTGATCCATTCATCTATTGAGGGGCATCTGGGTTGGTTTTTGATGTCAGTGCCCTGCATCTTGTATATACATTTTTCTAATTTGGGGAGGGGAAGGGAAATAACAAAATGCTGAAATAAGAATATAGGTTGACCCATTGAAAAATGAGATGTAGAAGACACTATGTGGAAAACAAACTTTACAACTTGGCAGGGGGAGGAGTTGGGGAGGTGGGAGGGAAAGGATGGTAGGGTAAAAACAAAGGAGGAGGTAACAATGCTCCATAGGAAATGTACACATTACCTTACTCATGTAACTGTAACCCCTCTGTACAGTATTTTTGTACCTCATGGATACAAAAAGGCTGGTGCAGATTCCCCTAAAGTTGAGATTCCTTGTCTGTCCTGTGTCTACTCTCTGTGATGTTTGGAACTTGCTTGGTCCCAACTATTTCCTGGTTTAAGCTAGCATTCATAATTTAAATGACAAGGTCCTTGCTTTCATGTTAATTATGAATTCTTCGTGTGTGTGTGTGTGTGTGTGTGTGTGTGTGTGTGTGTGTGTTCTAGATACAGCTGGCATTTTACCATTTGAGATATGGTTCCGGGCTCTTTTTGTTTTTGTTTTTTTTCTGGTTAATTGGTGATGGAGTCTTGTGGATTTTTTCTGCCCAAAGTGGCTTCTATCCTTCAGATCTCAATCTCTTAACTAGCTAGGATTATAGATATAAGCCCCCAGCGCCTATCTCAAGTTAATTATTCATAAACTATCTTCCAATGCAACCATCATTATGTACTTTAAACCCAGATATGTCCATCTCCACTCAAATTCCCTCACCAGATCCCTGAAACCTCTAAGATAAAAGCCAAACTCTTCAAAAGGTACATCATTATGTCTTTGCACATCAATGAACCAATTGCCATTCAGTGCCCAGATAACTGTAGATCTGATTTTTCTCCAACACTGAAGCTTTAATCAGAGGCAGAATGCAGGCTTCCTTCCTTACACTCCCAGAGTACTTCCTGAGGCCTTTGGAAAGGCCCTCCCACCCTGCAAGATGAATAGTTACTGACACAAAAGCTATAGCTCCTTAGGGATCAGGGCCTCCTATTAATTTATGCACCTCCAGTTATTTTTCTCTGTCAATGTATCTGACACACTCCTTACTGTACTTCCTGTCAAAAATCTAACTGTTGGTACTTCATTTTGGGGGAAGAGCAGGGACTTGGGGCTTGAACTCAGGGCCTGGGTGCTATCCCTGAGCTGTTTTTGCTCAAGGATAGTGTTCTACCACTTTTGCGCTAAAGCTCTACTTCCAGCCTGTTTTGTAGTTTAGTGGAGATCACTGTCATTGGCTTTCCTGCCCAGGTTATCTTCAAACTGTGATCCTCAAATCTCAGCCTCCTGAGAAGCTAGGATTATAGGCTTGAGCTAACCAGTGCTTGGCTTGTTCCCCAGGATACAAAAATACATCTAGATCTCCAATTTGTAGACATAAGTAGAGGTCTTACTGTCTTCCGGTTTACAGTTAACTAGGATAGGATTATTTAAACACCAGGAAATGAGGTCCTGAATTAGGCTGTCACAAAGCGCTGAGAGAAGGCTGCTGGGCCACTTCTATTAACTAGATTTGGTGACCTTGACAGATAAGGCAGATCTCAGGGTCTATATGTCCATCTTAAGGCATGTTTTTTTAGCCTACAGAGAAGCTTTTGTACATACAACCCAAAAGGGGAGCACTTTGGGTGGGGGTCTGTCTTTTTTTGTTCTTCAGAGGAAAAGAAATCAGAAATTAATAGTATTTCAAAAGTTAGCCCACATACATTGACTGTGAAGGGAGATATAAGACTTACAATGGGGAAAGCTTATATTATACAACTCTATAAGAAAAATAAGTTCATACTCGAAATGGCAGAGAGAAAGAGAGAGAGAGTGAGAGAGAGAGAGAGAGGGAGACAGACAGACAGACAGACAGACAGACAGACAGATACAGACAGAGGCACAGAGAATTGAGACAGAAAAACTCTTGGCTTATTCAAGCCACATATAGAATCAATCCATAAGCCCAGCTGGAATTAGTAAAATTGAAAGTTTACCTAGAGTTGATTTCCTTCTTAGGAATCAACTCTAAATGATAGGGCTCAGAGTACAAGGCCCTGGCACACTGGAAACATGGACCTAAACTAAGGAAGGCAAGGTAGGATCTTTTTCACGTTCCATGTTCTTTCTCACGCTCCCCTCTCTCCTCCACAACAGCCTTACAAACTAGATTTCTTAAGATGATTGCCTAAGATGAGCTATAGAAACTAGAATTCCTATTGCCCAAAATGAGCCACAGAAACTAGAAACTAGAATCACAAACCAGTTATAAAATCTAGAAGTATAACTTCTAGCCTTTCTGTGCTCATACAGAAATGATATTCATTTAGTTTCACGTCTGCATTACTATATATTAGTAAGCTTGGTTATCTATCTATCTATCTATCTATCTATCTATCTATCTATCTATCTATCTATCTATCTATCTATCTGCCCTTTTATGTATACATAACAGGTAGTATTTGAGTTTATGACCCATACATGAGAAAGCAGATTCGTCCTTTGCTTTCTAGGCCTGCCTTATATTACTCAGTCTGAGTGTTTTCCAGATCCCTCCATTTCCTTGCAAGATGCTATATAATTTCATTCTTCTTGATGGTTGAATAAAAGTCCTGTGTGTATGTGTGTGTGTGTGTGTGTGTGTGTGTGTGTGTGTGTGTGTGTGTGTGAGTGTAGCACATTTTCTTTTCCATTTGTCCCTTTGAAGGCATCTGGGCTGTTTCCATCCTTGGCTATTGTGGCTGCAATATAAGTAAGTGTGCAAGTATTTTTACTGTACCCTGTTTTACATTTTTCAGATAAATGCCCAGGAATGGTATAGATAGATCATAGGGTAGTTCTATATTTATAATTTTGCGGAATCTCCAAACTGATTTCCATAGTGGTTTCATTAATTTGCATTCCCATATAATAAGGTTCATTTCTTTCCTGAATTTTCACCAACAATTTTTTTGTATTCTAAATGATGTCCACTCTGAGTGGCGTGAGATTAACATTCCTAAGAGAAAAGTCCAGAGGTAAGTAGAATTTAACAGCTTCTGCAATATGTACACATTCTGCATTGTATGTATCCAACATTTATAACTGTATTTGAAGGTTATTAAACGTATGCATTTTAAATAAAAGAATTTAAAAAATCTGGGTCATTGGGTCTTCCTTTGTACCATGCAATACTTTGATTAAATAAATTTTTTAGCTTTTCTCTTGTTAGCGTGGCTTTCATTAGAGGAGTGTTGGCTTTAGCTCTTGTGATGAGTGAGCATACTTTTCTTCTCCTAGTAGAAGAAACAATTTTCATCACATAACTATTTCTCTCTTTTATTATCTTTAAGTATTTTTACAAAAGTGTTTCAGTTCAACATGTCAGTTAATGAGTACAATGCATCTTGATGAATGTTACCCTAGAAATTTCAAAACCATCAAAAACTGGCACACCAATAAATTAGAAAATGACAAAACACATAAACATATAGATATATGACTTGGAATAGCTAAAAATATTTCTTTCTTTGTGGTACTAGGGCTCAAACCCACAGCTTTGTGTGTGCAATACAATTTCCTTAATTTATGGGTAACAAATGTATGAAATTTATATATCCTAGAAACCTACTCTGTCCATTGCTCTCTGTGGCATCACAATATGTGATCAATCAACTTTCTTAAAAAAAAATCTCTGGAGCTGGGCACCAGTGGCTCATCCCTCCTCGCTACTCAGGAGGCTGAGATCTGAGGATTATGGTTCAAAGCCAGCCAGGAAGAAAAACCTGTGAGACTCTTTATCTCCAATTAACTATCAAAAAAATGGAAGTAGAGGTGTGGTAGAGCACTAGCCTTGAACACAAAGAGGCTCAGGGACAGCATCAAGCCTCTGAGTTTGAGATCAGGACTTGGGACAGGGGTGGAGGAAAAGAATTTCTATTCATCAAGCCACAGGACAAAAAAGTCTTTGGATATTGCAATACTCTTATTATTTATCACTACAGAATTTTTTTCCTCATCTATCTTTAAATGAAAAAAAATAACTTGTGTTTCCATGTCCCCGTTATTATTTTCCCTAAAATTATTTCTTGATTTTGTCCCCTCTTATTATCAGGTTCAAAATGTTACAGGTCCAGTATCTTACATTAGTTAAGATGCTGCTAGAAGAAATATGTCTAAAGTAGGATTAAGAGTCAGGAGTTAGAAGTCAGGTGTTGGGTGGTCCATGCCTGTAATCCTAGTTACTCAGGAGAATAAGATCTTTGGATCATGGTTCAAAACCAGCCTAGACAGGAAAGGCCACAAGGCTCTTATCTCCAATTAATCATCAGAGAGTCAGATGTGGTGCTGTGGATCAAAGTGGTAGAGTACAGCCTTGAGCACAAGAGAGCTCAGGGACAGCATGTAAGCCCCAAATTCAAGCCCCACAACTGACAAAATTAAGAAAAAGTATCAGGAGTTAGAAACAAAAAGATATTGAGTACTATGGAGGAGAGAAGTAGCATGGAGCGTAGAGATTGTGTGAAGGATTCGGTTCTACTCACCAAACCATGCTTGCTGGTCTCCTTGCACCTCTATGGCTAAGCCAAAGTCAGCCAGTTTCACAGCTGCTCCCTTGGATTTGCTAGCTAAAAGCAAATTCTCAGGCTTTATTTAGAAAGGAAAAAAAACAGAGAGAGACCAAGGTGAGAACCTATTTTAAGTGACTATTCAAAATTAACTCTTTTTTTTTAACAAAAGATTAAGGGAGAAAACAAAACAAAACAAAGAGTCATGCACAGTTGTCTCTCCCGGAGACTGGCATTCCTAAATCCCAGGGAAAATATGGTTAGAAAATGGTTTTCAAAACATCATGTGTGCAGGCTTTAGACAGATGCATAAAGGTTGGGGAGAGATAGTGGGTAGAGGGGAGAGATCCAATAAACAAGCATGCGTCTTGGCCTGCACACATGTTTTCAAGGACCATTCAAGGCCCAGAGTTGGCCACAGACATAAACTTAGCAGGCTCACAGAGCACAGATACTCTCAGCAGAAGGAAACTTGGCAAAATGATGACAAAAGTTGGACCAATCTACAGACATTTGGCAAATAAAACTGTGCAAATTAAATCCTAGTTGACTTTAAGAGTTTGGATCCAAGTGCAGTGATTCTGTGATTCCTCAATGTTTCCAAACAATGTCTCTACAAAATTTGGAGATGCACTCTAAATTATGTATTAAAACTGCTGTCTTTAAGAATCTGTTTATTCTTAAAGGCAGAAAAAGTATCCTAGCATTTGCCAAATGTTACAGTTAACTTCTTTTCCCTTTATAAGCTAGGTTTTTAAAATATAATTTACATCTTTTTGAAGTGTGATTCAAAACATTACTTATATATTTCTTCTCTCATCTCAAATGACTGTGAGAAAGCTACATTCTGGGTTCTTGTATAGTTATTGTTACTCAAGCACTGTTTACTGGATCTTGGTATCAGGCTGTGTCTACGGTATTGTTTCCCAACTAGAGCATCAAGACACATTGAATTTCCAAATAAGCAACAAGCCAATGTCTTCCATTTCCCTGGACCTCTTTGTGGATATTTAAAAAATGGAGGGAGAAGATGGTTAAGAAAAAGATGCTGGGTCAATACATATAACACCAAGCTATCTGGATGAACAAGCTAGATTGGTGTCCATAAGGGAGAATAGTCAAATATCTTCCTAGTTTGGGACAAAATCCAGTGAATTTAAGTCTGTGTCTCAGACAGAATGACATTGGGAAACAATGGGTTTGACAAGTGCCAAAACTGTTCTCTAGAAATCTAAAAATTCAGTCAATCAAAATGGTTTTATTTGTATGTTGACAAATTAAATATTTTCTCCACCATATTAGCACCTGTCTTCTTATCGAATTAGGTAATTCTACTGTTAGTTTTGACCTTGTGTAAACACAGCCGAAACCAGTCTTTGATTTAAAAAAAAAATTAAGCCAGCCATGCAAAATAGCGAAAACCCATAACCAAAATTCAGAAGAAATTAGATCAAATCTATAAGAGATCAGAGTGTGGGCAAATAAGTTTTGATTAAGTACCAGACTTCTTCAGGCTCTTGCTTCTCACTGCCATCAGATTCACCACTATCGTGACCATTGGTAAATGTGAAGAAACCTTTGTAAAATTTTGGGAGCCAATAGGGGTTTGAACTATATAACACCAAGTGCATAATTTAATTTAGACTTTGGGGTAAAGTTGTCTCTAGACTATGAATGAGTGCTGAACTAGCTTTTAGTGACAACATCTTACCTATGAAATGACTGGGAAACTGTGGTTGCTTATTAATATGATAAAATGTCTAACTGTGTGAATGTAGTCACATTTGACATTTTACTTTCACAACTAAAATTTATGGTCCACTGCATTCATGCATTTGATAATTGAATCAAGAGAAAATTTCCAACTGTTTATTTTAGAATTAGGATCTTGGATAATGCACATCAAACTGTAAGTAACAGTTAAATGTGCTCCTGGGTGACTTACACATTTAAAAGCACTGAGATTTTCAGAGATGTCTGCTAACACATCCAGACTGGTTTGTTAGCCGCAGACTCATTCAATGAGAGAGCTCAAATCACTTTAGAATTCAGAGTCATTTAAAGACTTTTTGGTTACATGGTATGAAAGTTAGTTGAGCAAACGCCAGTGTCATTAGTCAATAAACTAATGTAATGGGTACGTTAATCACTAGATGCACTGGAAGGGCTGTGCATCATGCCCATAAACACGAAGTATAAGCCAATTCAGAAGAAATGGTGGCCTGTGAGTTTTGTCATGCATGACCTCTGAATGACAGGGGTGGGCCATTCTTCATAACTAGAGATGACCTACAAGGCCTTGCTGCAGGGCCTGTGATTCATCTGGGAAGATGAAATGTGCATCAGTGTTTCACCTTCTACCCTGAGGACTGTTCAGCTGCAGCTATATACCAGAAAAGGCAAGCCTATCTCAAATATGTCTTAAGGCCTATCTTAAACATGTCTGCATGTTTGAATAAATAGGGCTGAAAAAGCTTTACATTGTGTGTATCTATGAGGCCATCCCAAATATGGACCCTTGGTATGCAAGCTGAGAAATCAGAGTAATTACTGAATTTATTTAAGGGTTAATTGATTTCTAATGTTTCACTACAAGATTGTTTTAAATGACCTTTACTCTTTGAAATGTAGTGGGAATAATCCTGTCACTGTGTTCTGTGAGGGTTCAGGAGGCTCAGCTTTTCTAATAGAAATTCTTATGAAGTGGGGAACATCTACCCCATCCTTCATCAGCCAGGTAAGGCCCACAAAAACTCTTGGTACTTGACAGGACAGACATGTAATGGTCCTTACCACTGCCTGTGTCATGTCTTCCTGTGTTGATAATATTGTAGGGCCTGTGATGATGTGAGAAATGTTTAAATGTCCCTTGGCAGGAAGTAGGTTCCTCATGCCTAAATCTAGAGCAACATTTTAGCCAGAGCAGGCTTATTTACTCTGATTTCTTTAAATTGTTTTCATAACAGAGCCTCCGACTTTGAAAACATATTGTCATAGGAAAAGTCTACTGCCAAGTAGGTTACTGCAAATTCTGAATGCCTAAGATAGAAAAGTAACTTATAGTGCTTATCATGCTTATAGTTCATCAGAACAGAAGGAGTAGACTTTCTCACCTAATCGGTATCTTCTCCTTAGAGAGGATCTCTAACCACATGCTTTGTTACAACTATTACATATTTCTGACTTTGGAGGGTGGATGAGGTAGGTTAAGATCAGAAACAAGAATCGCCCAATGTAGTTAAATTTGAGAGAAACAGAACAGTGGGATTTAGAAGAAAATTCATTCCTTGCAACTCTGGCTTGGTGAATTTGGGCAACTCATAGACTCTCAAAGCCAATAATTCCTTTATTTCTTGAATGAACACTCTAAGACGGAAGTTATATCTCATAATAGTGTCTATGGGTTGATCAAATCACAGTGGGTTTGTATCACTGGAGCACTGGAGATTTTTTTGAAAACAATATATACATTAGGGATTCGTTTTGTTATGGTTCAGTGCTTCAGGTTATTTTGACATGTAGAGCATGTAATACTTGAAATGAATGTTCAAAACTTGAGAAATAACCACAACAATGCAGCCAACTAAAGTTGGCTAACTTAATACTTATACATTACATATACAATACTAACATAATGAATTCAATTGGTTTTATAAACTGAGATTATTTCTAAATCCTTTCGATGCACTCAGTTTGAGGTTGGCTTTTAAATAGAGTCTACTGACATTTTCACACAAAGGCTCTTTCCCCACCCCATTGCTTCGTCATGATGCAGGATTTTCCATGACATCTGGTCTCAGTGTCAACAGCCATTTATAGCAGCTCAGCTGTAATGAACAGCAACTGTTTGCAAGGTTCATTCTGTGTGTTGTCCCTGTGGATACAATGAGTGTTTTTCATGGCATGATCCAACATTTTCCTGAGACTGTTCAAGTATCTGAAAGGATGTGGGTGAATTGTGGAATCACTTTTAGAAGGGGAAGACTTAGGAGATGAAAATCTCACAACCCCATTCATTTGTAAATGTAGGGAGCTCAGGAGGACCAAAAATGATAAAGCCAGGACTTGAAGCTACATTTCTAACTCTTTCATTTTAATTTGACTCAAGGGAAACCATCCTGGTGGCATGAGAATGGTCAATTTCCAAAGGCAGTCCATTTCATAGGTATTTTTTAGAAGAGTTTGGCATATTCCATTTTTTTATTACATCCAAATTGGACAAGAGAAAACCTTATGAAAAGGCATTGTTTTAATCTTAATTATATGGTTTGTATCATCTTTATTCATTAATTAGGCAAAGGCAATGATTATCTTTAGCATTAACCATACCATGGATTTATCTAGGTACATGTGTGTAACTACCCAATAAAACAAAGTTGTTAGGAAAATATGCATGGAATCATGCATCTTTACCTATTTTTATTCTTGTTCTCTTGTTAAATATTACAAAAGCATCAAATAATTTTATTTCTACCAATTTTATTTGCTTCTTCCATCCCTTGGGTGGTGGTGGCAAAAATGGTTGTTTTAGAATTTCTTTCCTGTATTAAAGAGTTTCAGTATAGGAACAGGAAGCTAAATGTTCTCTGCCTCCATGTGTTTCCAAACACTTTCGTCCTTGCCAGAGATGGTGCAAACAAAGCTCCCGGATATTAATTCCATGACATTTTTTGGTGAATTGAAAAGCTCGAGTGTCTGTCTATATCATTTGATTCATTTGTGTGCACAGTAAAGTGACTTAGCTCATTTCCTTATGGAATGAATGCCTGCCTGAATGTACTTAGCCCAGGAAGTTTCCAATGAGGAAGTACTACTGCCACTCCTAAGAACCATGCTGCATTCACTCCTGCTTCTTGGCTTTTTTCTACATCATTGGCACACCTGGCCTGGTAGGTTGTAACTCCAGTGTGACCATGCCAATTGCCCATATGGGAGGCACACAACAAAATTAGAATGAGTAAATTAATGATTGCATTTTTTACATGTACGGTTTCTACAACACCTAGCCATACATGATATATAAAAGATACATCCTTCCAACTTACATCTGAGAAAGAAGGACTACTTGTAGTTTTATAG